GATCTAAAACTCTGATGGAAAAATGAGGAAAATATGAACAGACAATTCACAAAATTGGTACAATAGGATCTTAAACATATGAAAAGATGTTGAAACTCACTCAAAATTTGGGAAACTCCAATTACCCTTGAATTTTTCACCCGATTAGCCACAATTTAAAAGTCTGAGAATATATTATGTTGGTGAGGACCAAGGGCACTCTCATACACTGCTGTGGGAACATAAACTACTACAGCTCATTTGGAAGGGAGTTTTTGACAATAACTAACAAAACTACATTTGTTTTTATTTTGCATTTACCTTTTTGGCTCAGTAATCCCATTCTAGGTATCCACCTCGAATAGACATTACTAACTAAATGAGAATTCAGATATACATACAGAGCAGCATTGTTTACCATTCCATATGATGGAGTCCATTTAAATGCTCACATAGAGATGTGTGAATAAATTATGCTATTAATACACCAGTGAGTCCTGTGCAGTCATAACAAAGCATGAGGAATATTTCTATGAGCTGATACAGAGTGATTTCCAAGATGTACTATTAAATGAAAAAAGCAAAATATAAAAATTACTACTTTTTCACAGAAGAAAAACAAATAAGGATATATACAGATATCATCTCATTTAGCAAATGATACATAGAAAGTATAAACTAGAAACAATTGAGTCTTTCCCTACAGAGGCAGAGAGACTAGAGTGGAAAGAATGGAGAAACAGGAAGTGTGGGGAAGTAGGGAGGTGACAGTTCTGCATGTGATTTTTGTTTTTACAGTCCCCTCTTGTTAAACTAATAATTAAAATCAACAAAGGTCAGACTCAATTAATTTTTGTAATCATGAAATGATACCTAGCATGATGTCTGCTATTTCTTGGTTTCAGATTCCTGAATAGATAATTCACTGTTTTAATTCAGTAAGTTTTCTGAGAATTGATCATTTACAGGGTTCTATGCTAGGTACAATAAAGACATTAAAATGGGCTATGATACTCTAATTACCCTCTAGAACTTTGTTTTCTAAATAATGTCTTCCAAAAATAAAAATAAATAAATAATGTCTTTCACAGAAACAAGCTTAAATATAGATGTACAAAAAGTGGGAAAAAATTAAAAAGATGAATAGCAAACTAAAATAACAAAATTTTATGTGATAAAGACAGTGCTAAAAGTATACATCAACTTCATTCTGATTCCTTTCTTATTTTATGACATACCTTCTTCTGAAAGATAAGTTACATAAGACAGATTAAAATTAATGAAATAGAAATGCTAGAATTATTAAAATAATGTTAAAGAATATAAGCAAAAAAGTCAAGACAGAGTTGGGTGAGGGAAAACTGAACAAATAAAAACTACAATTCAGGAGAAAAAAATACTTGTAAACTACAAGAAGAGAAAAAAAGAAAATGTACTGATAGACACAGAACCCTTATTATCTAATAAGAGAAAGCAGATTAGTTAATCAACTGAATGTGTTGCCATACACCAAGGCCCCTCAAGACCCTGCTTCAATAACTCCTGTAATAAAAGAAGCAATAAATATCTTTATGGTGTGAGCCTCTGATAGTAGGGTTCTCTGTTACTTGCAGCTGAGAGCATTTCCAACTGTGAATCAGATCAGATGTGATTGTTTCTGACACCTTAACAATATAATCTTATTAACCTAAATAATTCCGTCAGTTGGACCTTCAGAGGGAGAAAAAAACCAACCTGAAAATGAATAATGTATAAACAAAAGCAAAACAACACAAATAAATAAAATGAGGCAAACAAACATGCCAGAGTCCAGCTCCAGCTGGGTTCAGGATACCCCAAAGGTGGAGATGGCGGGGGAGGAAGAAAGAAAGAGAGAGAGAGAGAAAGAAAGAGACTGGACTCCAGTCTAGTGCAGAAGCGATGTGTGTTATTGGGAATTACAAAGGGTCTTTTATACACAAAGTCAGATGTGGGAGGGGCGTCCCCCACCCACCAGAAACCTTAATCCATGAAAACTTAATCAATGATTGCCTTTAAACCCTTTTCATATGATAATCTTAAAATCCCATAACAAAGGATAACCTAATCCGTGACTGACATATTCTATAAACCTTTTTCATCCTCAGCTGATTGATTTATGCCAAGTTAAACAATTCTATAGTAGCTTAAGTATTTACTTTACAAAGGAAAGTGGCCCATCCCAGAATGTTTGGAATGTGGCCCAGTCCAAAGTTCACAGTGGACTACCTGCAGGTAACCCAGTTGCATTCTTTCAACAAAATGGCTGTCTTCTAAAACTATATTCTACAATTTACACCTTCAATAAATCCTAAGATCGTAACCCAGAAGCCTGTGACCAATACTAAGGCTCTTAGATGTGACACGAGTTTGAATTATAAGTTGTGTGAAAACCAAAACTGCAGTTTGTGGAAGAATGGAAGCAATGAGCTTCTAAAGTTAGCTTGTGTTAGTCCCGGACTCAGAGTTTTTATGTTTTGAGCTCACAGGGAGCTTAATCTGGTTAGTGCTGAGTAGAAAGGAGGAGGAAATGGGGTCAATAGCTCCCGAACACATCCTAGTGGTCTCGGGGTCAACGACCTTTCCTGATCCCTAACGCTCAGTGGGCCGCCATGGCTGGCTCCCAACACAAACACATTCCATGTTTGTAGAAACTGTATACCCTGATGCAGTGGGTTTCAAATCTAAAGGAAAAATGACTAAGAAGCTGGATCCCAAAGATCCAAAAGACTCTCTAAGTTTCTAGTTGACAATAGATAGATGAGTTTGGATGTCAAACCAAGTCCAGTCATCTGTTTAAAAATTGCAAACATACAAGTCACATATCCAGGACCAGAGCTAAAGAGGAAGGAAAGCAGATGTGTGATGAAGTTATAAGAGAAAACATGCAACTCTCTGGATCAGATTTTACATGTAATAAAATGCCATGAAAATAAAATTATTTTATTATCTTTAATAATATCCTGCTTTACCCTTTTAATTCTACGGCATTTCATTCCAGGAAATGAGACATTTTTTTTTTTTATGTTGTTAGAGTTGTGGCTTTTACTTTTATATTTTATCATTTAAATTCTCAATCCAAATATGCTAGATAATAACAAAACACCTGAGGATTGCTTTAAACTTATGGAAAACAGTTAATACTAGACTAAGCAGAAGGCTGCTGGGACTTACTGCTAATCAATTATACCCTTAGATTATTTTTTACAATACTAACGTATACCTAAAACTACTTGCTCCATGCTTTATAGAATAAGAAAAAAGACCAAACCTAGTAAAAATCATAAATTCAAACAGAAATATTAATGGAAAATAATGAGACAGGAAGGAAAACAGTATCTTTGCTGTGATAATAAAGAGATTTTTATTTTAAATGAATAGAACTTAAGGAAAACTTACACCAAATCCAAAGCAACATATCCATGTTTAATCCACCAGTTCACATGTTTTTGTTGTTGTTGTTGTTTTTACTTTTTAACTTTTTTTTATTTTAAAGATGTGGGGTACAATTCAGGATTAGGTATACAAGTAGTCATCATACATGTAAAGTTTGGGCCTCTGGTCCCCACTTTGCCTGGTTTGAGATCAGGTACGCTTATTGATATTATTTTCTTCCTTGCCTCCCCACTCCGTGCAATATTCCATTGTGTATATGTACCACTCAAATCATTCTATAAAAAGATAACTGCACACACATGTCTATTGCAGCATTATTCACAATAGCAAAAACATGGAACCAACTGTGCTGCCCGTCCAAAGTGGACTGAATTTTTTAAAAATGCAGTTGATTATTTTTGAGATGAAGACAGATGACAGACCCCTTAGAGGGCCTCACACAGGCTAAGAGGAGAAAAAGCCACTAAGCATGCCTGTGCTAGTCTCAGAAATCGCTGGTATCTTCCTTGCTTGAAAAAATAAAGCAAAGCTTATGGGATACCTAGGCAACTAGTTTTCATTTCATAGAAAACATCCATTGGCCCACTAGTTTAGTCAGTCTCCACTGCTGTTCATATGCTTCAGCTCATATGGTCTGTTTTAGTCAAAAACTAGGAAGACATGAATTCTTATTCTCATTTCATCTTACATCCTTAGTTCTTCGGCCTTACAACATAGCCAGAAGGCAATGTAATACTAAGAATTTTAATTTTTCCTTGCTTCTAGGTCATGTCTTTTCTCTGACCATTCAATTCAAAGCAATCATCAATGTTTTTCACCTTTGTTGGTGTTTCCCATGATCTTTGACCATGTAAATAATGTTATACTGTAAAATAGAGCCTCTCCACACCCAGAACACTGCCACTCAGGAAGTTTATGCACACATAATTCAGTTGACAATGAGAGTATAAGCAAAAATGGCTATCAAACAGGCAATTCCAAGTCTAATATTCAGTGTCTCTCTTCACTTATTTTATAGTCACTTTTGAGTTATCTAATTTTGACCACTGATTAGAAACATCAAATTACACATTCTGATATTTTGAAAAAACAGAAAGACTACAGCAATCTTGGCAACCACACCGATCTAAGTCCAGTGACCTCAGTCAGCAAAACTATAACACAGAATAAGTACCATTCGTTACTGATGTAGGCAATAAAATCTTAACATTGGGAAGGACTCTAGAGATCTCATCCCATTTTAGGAATTTATCCTATGACGCCTCTTATAGTGACAATCTAGCCACTGTGTGAACATAAAAGCTGCCTCATTGCCTCACAAGAAAACTTACTCCATTTTTTAAAATGTTTTATAGAAAGCTCATTCTTAAAAGGCCGCAAACCGCTTTTCTGTAACTTCAGTTTATTGATTCTAATTCATTCATTCAACCAGCATGTATAGAGTAACTATTTTAGATAGTAGACAATATTCCATAAAGATAGAACAAATCTGCCCTTTATCCATCTGGAAAAACAAACTCATGAACAAGAATAAAAACAAAAACACCGATTGCCTTTCCTTTGCCACCACTATTCTATTTTTATTTCCAAGTCTTGGTGTTCCTTACCTGAATCACACCTCCCAAGAAGGAAACTGCTGCAGCAACACCAATCCTTTGCATCTCGAAATCAGACAAGCCCAGCACACTTGTATTACTCTGTGTGGTGAGATTCTGGATACTCTGAGGGACAAGCCGTTCCACAGCATTGGCTGATATTAAGGATGTCAAGGCAAAGGTGCCTAAAATGGGGAGAGTAGAGGGCGTGGGGAACCTTCTGTTATTGTATTTAGTAAGTCAGTATTATGTTCTGACCACCTAAGTTGGAGGTAAGATTCCAGATCAAGTAATTTTTCTTCATGAAATTAACATCAATCTCTTAATAATAAAGTGGACATGAAATGCCTCTACTCATGGATACACCAAAATAAAATGATGTAAAAGAGAAATATGTTCTGCATATTAAAGGTTCACAGAAACTTTTTGTTAAAATTCAATTGGTCCCTATGTCATAGGAAAATCATAGGAAGGTCAAAAAATAATTAGTTTGTATTTTTTCCCAGTAACTTTCTAAATTTTAGGGGTTTATTTTTACCTGAAATTTACAGATAATAATGTCTATTAAAAAGGGGTGTTTTAGAACAAAATAATATATGTAAAACTCTTAATAAAACACCTAGTGACTGAACATCCATGGTTCTCATGACTTAAATATATATACGTATGCAAGTATACACAGCATATAAATATATATATATATATATATATATAATACATGCTATAATATATTACATATGTAAATAAAATCTGGGCATCTTGTAAAAATGGTGATTTTGATTCAGTAGGTCTGGGGTAGAAACCAAGACTCAACTTCTAACAAGCTCCCACATAACGCTGATTCTACTGATTCACAAATCACACTTTAGATGGCATTGTTGTAAATGACTGACAATCATTTGTTGATCCTTCCCCCATGACAATGTAAATTGACTTAAAAAGTCAAACATACAAAAATAAAACATTATCTTATAGGAAAATTTATTTATCAATGTGGTCTGCATAATTATAGCCTCCCAAACATATTCATGCCCTAATCCTCAGAGCCTGTGAATATGCTATACTATACGGCAAGAGGGAGTTAATAATTGCAGTTGAAATTGAGGTTGCTACTCAGCTCACCTAAAAATAAGGAGAGCATCCAAGTGTGTCCAAAATGGAAAATGGAGGCAAAAGATCAGAGCCAAAGAGACCATATCACTGGCTTTGAAGATGGTCAAAGAGGTCATGATCTAAGAAGTTTAAAAAGTCGAGAGAATGGATTTTCCCTTAGAATCTCCAAAAAAAGAATGTCTCCCTGCTGGCACCTCAGTTTTAGCCTTGTGACCCCACTTCAGACTTCTGAACTTCTGACTATAGAATAATACCTTCATCTTTTTTTTTGTTGTTATTTATTTATTTTATTATTATTATTTTTTAGTTAGATCCTCACTCTGACGCCCAGGCTGGAGTGCAGTGGCATGCTCTTGGCCACCCCAGCGTCAACCTGCTGGACTCAGGAGATCCTCCCACCTCAGTCTTCCAAGTAGCCAAAACTACAGGCAGGAGCTACCACACCCAGCTAAGTTTCTATTTATAGTAGAGGCGAGGTCTCGCTAAGTTCCCCAGGGCTGTTCTCAAACCCGTGGGCTCAGGCAATCCACTCACTTCGGCCTCCTAAAATGCTGGGATTACAGGCTGAGTCATCGAGCCCACACTTATCTTATTTTAAGTCACTAAATTCATGGGAATTTGTTACAAAAGCAACAGGAAACAAAAATCATCAATAACACAAACTGACCACTGAAGAAATGATCACAAAATGGTATTACTTAAAAGCTGAGATCTTACATCACAGAATAAATAGGAATGCCTCTATGGATATTTCCAGTTAAAATTATTTTTATTATTATTACCTTAATATCTAAAATTAAGGTATTATTTTTGTTATAATAACTGACTTTATTAAATCTCATGTAGTAAATACCAAATTAGATGATACATCACTTATCTAGTCCTCACTATAATCGTATTAAATTTGGGGAGCTATTTCACTATTGAGAAAGCAGCAAATTGAGCTTTAAAACTTTTCCAAGCCCATGTAAATAGCAAACAACAAATAGGACATATACACAAGTTTATCTATCACCAAACTTAGCCTGTTCTATTATGATCCTTCATATATTACTATGACCTTTCATATATTCATGTCCCTTCACATATTATTCAGTAATACATAGCTTGGCAAAGAAAGAGATACACTAATTAAATGGTTATAGAATCTAGGCTGGATAAACCTAAAAGATCATTTAGATCAAATACATATAAAATATTTTTCACTATTTGAGTAATTGAATTTTATATAGTCTTCTTTTTTTTCTTCCAAGTGCTTACTTTCATCTCATTATAAATTCAGGACATTTCCCCTTCTTTCAAGGTCTTCTTGCAACTTAAAAATGAAAAGAATCCTTAGCAATATAAGGATTATGGTTATATAGTGGCACGGCAATAAATAACAATAAATGAATTGACTATCTGATGCACACAGAGTCTTGCCCTAATGTTTGCTGAGGTTTTCGCAGTGAAGTTAGAATTGCTCTGGAAATGTAATCAGTAGTTAATAATCACTCTGCATCCCTTTCATTAGTATCATGAACATAAACACAGATAGGAATTATTACCTGTGGCAACATGACGTCCCATTCCAAATATGGCATAAATGATGGCAGGGAACAAAGACCCATATAAACCAAACACCGGGTGCACAGAAGAAAGAACAGCAAAGGCCAATCCTGTGGAGAAGACTAAGGTAATTAGGATCATCTTATAACTCTAAGATACAGTTCATTATGTAATAGAGTAAGTATTGGTTTATTTATAGACAAAATAAACCATACTTTAATTTTTCTACTTGCTGAACAAGAGACTAGCATTAATTGTCCCAAATAGAAGAAACTTCACTCATTAGTTAATATTTATATTTTAATTCCCAAGTCATTCTGTTTGTATGACTACTTTTTCCTTCAATTGCAGAGATGTCTACATAAATATAATAGTTCAGAGTATCTTCCTAGTAAGAGGCAGGTTTGATAAAATGATCATAAAATTTCTCAGGCACACTTAGATTTTAGAAGCATTTAACACATTATTTTATTTGCACAGTGGCATCTGTGAAATAGACAGGTTAGTAGCTTTACCAGTGACAGATGAGAAGCCTAACATGGAATGGGGACAAGGGCTGGGAAAGAAAGGACACATACTCAAAGTTGGCTGGTTGGTTGATCGACTTGCCAGCCTGATTATGTATCATAGTAGCAGAGCCAGTGCATAAATCCATATGCTTCCCTAACTGGACCCTGGCCTATATTTTAGGTACAGTTTCTAGAGTGGAAAACATAAACTTTACTTACTTCAAAGAGTCACTAAGAGATCATTCATACTGTTAATTTTTATTCTTTGTAGATACTACTGCCTTCATAGGTGGCATAGTACATGCATGCAGAAAATTTTCTTAGGCATGTCTAAATGACCACTGGTAGTTTAAATGTGAACAAAATACGTGCATAAGTATGTTTTCATTAAAATTATCTTGTTTGTGACTGATCCTTAGAATTAAACACGACTGATGCCAGGTTCTGGCAAATTCATTCACATCTATTGATTTGATGGTTGGCATTTGTTTTGGCACAAAGGACATTACAAATTATAAAGAGAATTGAGGAAGGAGGAGGCATTAGAATCTAGAGTCCCTGAATATGGTGCCAGATTATCATTCACATTATAGAGCCTGGCAATCTGGTTCTAATACCAAAAATGTTTACTGGTAAGCTTTCACCATTTTAAAATTTCATTTCATTTCATTTTTAATATAGTTATATATCAAATATTTTTCAAACAGTACAAAACATTCTAGCTATAATTAAAATAAATGAAATGTCTACCAATGATCATTCTCTTTAAAAAAAAATAATTCAGATTTCTTGTTTACTGGTAATGCATCCCTAAAGTCTGGTGAAAATGAGTTAAAAGCGATTATAGAAGAATCAGTGGCAGGGCTGCTCTAGTATACAGGCATGGTGAAAGGCAGCAATCTGATGGGCTGAAAGGGTGGTATTAAGGGATAGGTCTTTTTTTAGAGACAAGGTCTCACTATGTAGCCTTGGATGGTCTAGAACTCATGGGCCCAAGCAACCCTCTCGCTTTGGCTTCCCAAAGTGCTGGGATTACAAGCATGAGCCCCCACACCCAGCCAAGGGGTAAATTTTAAAGCCAGGTTAGCATTAGCAAGCGAAATCTTCCACCACTCCTACCAACAAGCACTTCTTGGTATTTTTAGTGTAAGTAATTTTGTAAAAAGTATCGTATTTACATCAGTCATATGGAAAGCTAGAAAATAAAATTAAAATTTTCTCATCCTTTTTTTTTTTTCAAATTGGGTTACCTGATTTAAAAAAAAAAACTCTATCAAGCAACAGAAATGCAGAGTGTTCTAAAGCAAAAAAAAAAAAATGAGGCCCACATTACAAAGATCATACAGAGCTACTAAATCAATGGTCAGGAGGAAGGATATATTTAGCAAAAAGTTTCTTGGATGAATCATGCTAAATTCCCATAAACGTGGTCAATACTAACAGGGTTGGACTTGTCTGGTGGTAGACCTCTTTGGCTGCTCTACCTGCAACAGGTAGGTGTTAATACAAAGCTGAACGTAGCTAGATCCCCTCCTTTTGCCCTAGGAATAGCTATCTCCTACTTATCTACCTACTTTACCACAATCACCCTCATCTCTCTCTGCTTATAGCATATAAAATCCATAAGAAACTTAATTCAAAAAGGAAATTTTCCAAGGTTTCATATTCCTAACAAATTAAAATGGAAGCAATCACATAAGTTACATTTAACCCTACTTTTTGAAAGATCACTAGATTTGTAAAATAAATGCAAAACACCACTTCAATAGAATCTACAAGAACAACCTCAAAGACCAGAAATCATGTGGACATTTCATTTATCTCATATGACACGAATACTGAACTTTCACTTGAAACAATAATGTCATTCACCCTCGGTGGGACATTACTTCTCTGTTGATATGGCAATGAACAAAGGCCAAATACAGGAGGAATGAACTAATTCTAATATATGGTACTTTTTTTTTTTTTGTCCGAGTCTCACTCTGTCTCCCAGGCTGGAGTGCAGTGGCACACTCACAGTCACCGCAGCCTTGACCTACTGGGCTCTGTTGATCTTTTCACCTCTGCCTTCCAAATAGCTGGAACCACATGCATGTGCCACCACACCCAGCTAATTTTTCTGATTTCTTATAAAGAGACGGTCTCGCCATGTTGCTCAGACTGGTCTCGAACCCCTGAGTTCAGGCAATCCTCTCACTTCAGCCTCCCAAAGTGCTGGGATTACAGATATACAGTACTTTAAAGCATCAAGTATCCCTTCCACAAATAATAACTACAAGGCCCAAGACCACCACATATATATAACTCAAAAACAGGAGAGGAGGCTGGATATAGTTTTCTTTTTCTGGTTCATATATTGTTATATTTTATAGTACAAACTGCATACATTTTTTTCTATCTTGCACACATATACACTCATACAAAGTAAAATATGTTAAATCCTCCCCAAATAGTGAATATCTGTCTTAACTAGCATTACTTACAAATTCGAATTATCTACACTTTCTCTGTGTTTAATAAAACACAGTATTCAATTCAAATAAGAGCAGGATTACAATTTATAATGTTACTATTTAGAAAAAATACAACATCAAATGCTAATAGATTCTTTTACAGCCTAATCCAACTAAATAAGAGCAAAAGCAACACAAACAAAAGTATGAAGGATTAAAAACAATGAGTATTAGGCCAAAGGACCTCAAAAGCAGATGAGAGAGGAAAGAGAGAAAAGGAGATGGGGAGACGATAGATTAGATAGATAGATAGATAGATAGATAGATAGATAGATAGATAGATAACCCCAAAATTGAGATCTCTAGGTAGCTGATTATTTTTAAAGATAGAAAATCATATATTGGTAATGTAAGGCAGATAAAACCACAAAATAATGGTCATTAGAAGACTTTATAAGGTGCAATTTTTAAGAAAACATGTTTTTTAGGTGTAATAATAATTAGTGTAATACAGGAGAAGAAGAGATTCTAGATCCTTGTATCAAAATCATCAGTAGTTTTTGAGTTTGTGAACACTACCAACCTTTCAAGGAACTTAGTGTGAAGTTGAATGTTTGCCACTAGCACACCTAGCCAGTCTGCAGTGAGACTGGCTTCCCTAGACAGTGCCTTACCCCTGACCGTGAAAGACCATGCAAGCATCAGGTAGGTAGCTCAATCTCTGCCTCAGCTCCTACCTTTCAGCTGAAATCACTAGAAAGTGACTCAATCACTGCTGGTGAGAAAGAGAACTATTTATCTCAGAGAACATGATTTCTGTATTAAAATACAGATTTTTATTTCAGGTTCAACTAAATTATCTAGATTTATATCATAGCAATTATTCAGAAAATTGAAGAAACCTGGAGGTGTCTAGAAGTTGAGTGTTGTACACCAAGTTGGCAATTGGTAGTGGAATTACACTCTATTGGAAACTTTATATTTTGTTGGCCTAGCACCCTTACCTTTTTATTGAGAGGTCAAGCATGTAGGATCCAGAAACACTAGTTTTGCTTTGATCAGGTGTCAATGCAAGAACAACAATATTTTATAAACTGTAACCTTTGGTTATGGAGCTAACACAATTGAATGGAACAGCTATTACTGTAGAATGCACTGCCCCCAGCATGTCAATCTTCTTCATAAAACACATCTGAGTGTCATGGGTTGAATTGTGTCTTCTCAAAATTCATATGTTGAACTTCTAATCCCCAGTACCTCAGAATGTGACCTTATTTGAAAACAGGCTGTTGCAAATATAATTAGTTAAGATGAGGTCATACCGGAATAGGATAAGCCTCTAATCCAGTATGATTTGTGTCCTTATTAAAGAACACCATGTGAAGAGACATACAAGCACGCAGCAAGAGCACCATGTGAAAATGAAGGCAGAGATCAAGGTGCTGCTTCCAGATGCCAAAGAACGCCAAAGATTTCCAGAAAACCCCCAGAAAGAAGCTAAGGAGAGGCATGGAACAGAATAACCTTTATCATCAGTCCACAGAAAAAACAAAACCTCTCGACACCTTGATTTTGTACTTCTGGCGTCAAGAATAAATCTCTGTTGTTTAAGCCATACTGTTAGTGGTACTTCATTAAGACAGCCATAGAAAATGAATATAGGTGTCAGTTTTTAGAGGGAGACAAAATAAAAGGTCATTTGACGGCAGGGCATTCAACTTCACATTCTGAACAGAATAAAACCACTTGTCCTTAAAAAATATTAAATGATATTACAGTCTTTGCACTTCTCATTCATAACTCCTGAATCTCTATAGCACTATTTAAATTTCGTATTTTAGTCATCAAAAGTAGCATCAAAGAAATGTAGTCGCTAAAAAACAAGTGTCTAGAGATTAAGTTGCTAAATGTAAAAGAGTGTCTTTTGAAGAATTGCTTATTTAATACACAGAAGTAAGAGTTAAAGTCCCATCCAATCTCTACTACTACACATGGTACCATCACTAAAAATTGTGTTTGTAGGATTCTCGTGGCACTATTCTCACAACTCAGTGTTTATAACTTTAAGGAAATAGAGCCTGTGCAATGTCTAAAAACAAATGTGAGTAGATGGGCTAACCGCATTTGAAACTGTGGTTAGTCTTT